ATGTAACACCTTGTACCAAAAAAAAATCAATAACATTATCCTAAAGTACTAATTTCATATTTTAATAAGGATGTTGTTTCATAATAAACATATAATAGAGTTTTATTATAAGCAAAAGATCCACCCTATAAATATGTTTTTATTTGTTAGGGTCTGATATAAAAACACAACTGAAAACCCGAATAAAGAAAGAGAAAGCTAAAGAAAGCAAGAGAAAGAAAGAGATAGGTGCTGTAACAATGAGACAGGAGTCTACTCAGATATAAGGAAAAAGGTTGGTTGGTGCTTAAGTAGACTTTGAAAAAGCCTATGATAGGGTTAACTGAAGGTTCCTAGAAAAAGTGATGGAGCAAATGAGGCTCAGGGCTGGAGGGAGAAGTTGGATAGACGGTTGCTTATCATCTATTTCCTTTGCAGTCATTGTGAATGGAAAACCTCAGCATTGGTTTAAGGCATCAAGATGATTAAAATAAGGGGATCCCCTCTATCCCTTTCCTTCACCTAGTAACGGACATAGTAAGTAGAATGTTGATTATAGCAACGGAAAGAGACAGTGTTAGAGTATTAGTGGTAGGAAAGGATGGGATGGAGGTCTTACATTTACAATTTTCTGACGATATGATTTTGTTTTTGCAACATGATAATAGATCCATTAGGAATGAACTCACTTTAATCCAAGTGTTTGAACACATCTCAAGACTGAAAAATTAATTTGTTAAAAGTGGTCTCATCAGAGCCAATTGAAAGGAGGAAACGATTGACCAAGTAGTGAAGTCGATAAAATGTACCAGGTTAGTCTAGCCTATTACATAATTAGGAGCTCCTTTCAAAAAGTGTTAAGAAGGTTTGATTAGTATGTTATTGAATCTCATAATCCAATATATACAAATTTTCTAAGATGAAAAAAGAAATAGACAATTAATTTCAATTAATTCCAATTAATTACATAAGATATAATTTACTTTTAAACCTTTTAACTTAAGTTACCATTTTTTTAATACTTTCTCTTAAGCTGGAGAGTAGATGTTGTCTATCTCCAACTAACCAATAAGATTATAGAATGTTGGATTACTTGTCTTCAGTCAACATCTACAAGTTGAGAATTAGTAGGCATGCATAGGGTACATATTAGGTCATTGTCAAACTTCTCTTTGATAAAATTTCTATTGACCTTAATATATTGGTTTGATCATACTGCATCAAATCGTATAGGATGATAATGCATTTTTTTTAAAATAAAAAGTATGAAGTATAATCAACAATGTACCAAATAATCGAGGGTACCTCCAATGTACAAAAATATTTACAATAAAGTTAGAGTATCAATGATATCCCAAAAATCTCCATCACTATTGATGTCATGACTTAACATAATTGACGCAAACATATATATCCACCTATCTATTAATCTATTAGTACTACTCTCAACATTATCAAAATCTCTTCTATTCGGCGCTTTCCAAATGACCTAAAAAACAGTCAAATGGATAACATTAGCAATATTTTTTTTTACATATAAACCATCCCAAGCCCAAATTTCCTTCCTTATCGAACCTGAGATAGCCAAATTGATCTCTAACATAACATAAATCGTACACCATAAGCTGAACGCTGTAGGACACCACAATAACAAATGGTTACATGTTTCCTTTGCCTTTAGACAGCAGTAGCATCCGTTTACAATAAACCTGCCCTTACTTTTCAGCCTATCCAAAGTGAGAATTCTTTCCTAGCAAGCCTCCCAGGTGAAGAAAGTAATGTGGGGAGGAATTTTTCTCTTCCAAATAAGCTTAGCCGGAAAAACACTTCTGTCTTTAGCAAGGGTTATCACTTAAATAGTTATAATATGAAGTGACAGAAAATTTTTCATTCTTATCCAATTTCCAAACTACCTGATCTTAGCTGTTTGACACCTGCAGTGAATCAAGAAGATGCAACAAATCTTCAAATTCTTTAACCTCTCAATCATTCAAATTCTACTTTACATTAATTAATCACATAATATGCCTATTTATTACCCAGTATAGGCAATGGTATACTAATGCTAACATCCCAATGATCTTCAAACTCTTCGGCAATGTTAATGCTAACTCGTTGTCACAGTATAGGCACATGAAGTTTTTTTATTTCATTTTAAGATCTTCCAAAATTATTTTTACTCACAGTAGTTTACATACGTGCAATTCTGATTTTGCACTTGATCTCGCAATTGTATTTTACTTTTTACTTCTTCAAGTGACTAGATTACCCTCAAGAAATGTATAGTATCCTATGGTAGACCTTTTGTTTACAACTGACCATGCATAATCAGTATCCATATAGGATTCTAAGAGCAGTTTATCACTCTTTCTGAACATAACTTCATTTTCCAGATGACCATTTTACATAATGCAATACTTTGTAAACTGTTTGTAGATGTATTTCTTTTGGATTATGTATGAATTGACTTATGACACTCATTGCATAAATGATGTCTAGTCATATGTAGGATAAGTATATTAATCTCCCAACTAATCTCTGATACATTTCATTATTCACCATTGTATCTTCATCCATTATTCCTAATTTGTGATTAGGATAATAGGATTGCTAGCTAGTTTGTATGGTAACTTAACAGAGTCCCTAAACAAGGCATGAATGTATTTCCGTTGAGAAATAATTTTGAACAAGCGACTTTAATCCCCAAAAAATATTTTAACTTACCTAATTCTTTGATCTCAAATTCTTTCACTAGCTGTTGTTTTAGTATTAGTTCTTCTTTCTCATCATCTCCTATTACCATAATGTCATCAATGTATACTAGGAGAGTTGTAACTCCCCCTACTTCTGAGTGTTTGATAAACAGAACGTGATTTACTTGAGTCTGTTTAAATTCCAGATCTATCATCATCTTTGTAAGCTTGTCAAATCATACTCTTGGCAATTGCTTGAGTTTATACAGAGCATTTTTTAGTTTTCATATCTTATTTTATCTTACTTTTCTGTTAAAGTCTGATAAAAGATCCATGTAAGTTTTTTCTTCTAAATCTCTATGCAGGAAAGCATTTGTTATATCAAATCATTTTTAGTTGTCAATCAAAATGAACAGCTAATAAAAAAAAATCCGTAATAACGTTCATTTTAGTTACTGATGCAAATGTTTTTGAATAATCTATCTCATATATTTGTGTATAGCTCTTTGTCATCTATATCACTTTATATCTCTTGATTAGGTTCGTGAATCGGTCCCAAAATATCACAGTGGATTAATAAAAACAACTAATTTTTTTTAATTACTAATAGAAAAAGTCATACGTTTATGTTTTGCAAAATCATAGATATCACAGTGTAAATTTACATATTATGATATTTTAAACATAAGGGAAACATTACCTTTTTAGGTGGGTGAATGGTAATATTTGTACCCTTTTTAAGAGAACGAGCACCTCACATATACACATTTAAGGACTCGATGAGCAACCAGATAATGGTATTTTTTCTTATGTGCCTTATGAGTAAACTAGTGATGGTATGCCTCCAACTCAAGAACAACCACCGATTATTCATGTTTATTTCAGAAGACAACAGACTAATAATACATGTCTTGCATCAGCTTCTTCATCATCTGATATTTCTGCCCATGGTCTTGATTTTTCCATCAATTTTCGTAAAGGTATATGTCAATGCACCCTTCCTCATTCTACTTATCCCATTGCTAATTTCATTTCATATGATCACTTATCTCCTAGTTTTTTAATTGCTTTTATAAATTTTATTTCTATACCTAAGATAGTTAAGAAAGCTTTGAATCACCCTACTTGGTGTAGTATCATGCTTGAGGAGATAATTGCCCTTCATGATAATCATAATTCGGTTCTGGTGGATTACCTAAAAGAAAAAAGATTGTAGGGTGCAAATGAATATTTACAGTCAAAGTGAATATAGATGACTCTATGACGAAACTTTAAAGCTTGACTGGTAGCAAAAAGTTATGCTCAGACTTATTGGGTGATTATCCTGATACATTCTCTCTAGTGGTCAAATATATCTCTATCCGTTTATTCATATTTATTGAAGTCTCTCGATATTGACCCTTACACCAGCTGAATATTAAAAATACATTTATTCATTGTGATCTCTTAGAAGAAGTGTATATGGTGCAACCACCTGGGTTTGTTGTTTAGGAAAGTATGAAAAAGTCTGTTATTTAAAAAAAAATTTATATGGTGTTATATCCCCGAGACTACAATCTTGTCACTGGCCAGTTATCTAAAATTTTTTATTCCATAATCTGCTTCTTCTAGTTACGATTTCTTAAGCGACTTATTTTGTGA